GGCGGTCAACACCCTTCCTTAAACTGTGACTGTCTGTTTTATTAAGTTTTACGGAGTCTGATTTGTTTCTGGTAGCTTAGTGAACATCCTATCCAAATATAGCATCACATGTTCACACGATTTTACACATAATCAAAAAGCAACAGAAGTAGTAATTTTTCAACACATGTCGACCAAATGTTAACTGTTTAATGGAAACAATAAAATGTCTGGAATTTTTTCATTCATTTCTCCATTCATAAAATTTCAAATACCCAGATGTTGTTATTTTTAGACGAATGCAATGACCCAAAGGAAGATCTCCCATAAAGAAATAAAGTCAGATGTTCATTTGAGAAAAACAAAACAGTGAAGGCCAATGTCTAGACTGTATCATACTTTTGAAGAAATATTTTAATCAACCATGTGAACCACAAAAGACAACACTACAACGCAATAATCTTACATTGGCAGATAGTTGAAATGAAAGTTTATCGTAGTAGACTGACCTAAGTAATGCATCCTTAACCAGAGTTATTAGCAAACAAAATGCCAATGGATGTATGATTCGCCTAACTATTTTTAAAATCGATAAAGTATTTTTAACATGCAAATTTCACACATACAATAGCTTCGCATAAAATGCATAAAGATAACTATATATGTAAACTACTTATTTCTATGTTACGTTCGGCGTATTCTTAAACACTCTGGAATGTGCTCTTATATTTTTCTATTTCTAATGTAATCAGTTTTTTAGGTTTCATTTCGATGTGTGAGTACTAAAGAGGTCAGGTCAAATTCCCCCAAATTTGTTTCACAAGGACCAATTTATTGATATCCTCCAACCATGTACAATAAAAAGTGCTGTATGCAAGGTTAATACGTGTACTTTGCGTGAGAATCTAACAAAATTCGGACGTATTTCTGAACATGTCACCTAATTTTTTCATGGCTATTTGTAAATTTGGGCAAATTTTGAAAGGTTATCGCAAAATACATAGATAAGGACAAACTCCCCGAAGCCAAATTATGTTAGACCTGGTTACAGATCCAAATTTTACAAAACACATGTAACATGTGTGATATTGCATGTCTTCAAAAACGATGTCTATCATATGTTGGCTTTATGAATATGTTTTAAATTGTTGTGAAATCGATAAAGTCTATCCTATAGACTTTCAAAATATTCAAATCCTGGTGAAAAAAATCTAAAGGAAAATTAGTCTTTTGAACTTACAAACTATACTGTGCGGGAGAAATTATAAACGTATATGACCTTCCTAAGATAAGTGTTTTGAAAACATTTTTTATCTTATTTTGAAAACGCTGTATTTCATTTTAGTTGCTATCAGGTAAGATTGCAGGTCGAATGGGATCTTCTCATAAACTAAGGCTTTTCTATTAATTCCTACTAAAGCCATGGTTGATACGCCACTTCTTTAAGTGTTGTTATTTGAAAGAATTTTCCCGTCATATTTTATTTGGCTTTGGCATTGTTTTGATTCTAGCGTCACTGATGAGTCATATGTAGTCGAAACGCACGTCTGGCGAACCAAATTATAAGCCTGGTATCTTTGATAAATGTTTGTTCTGAAGTTTGTCTATATATAATTAAAAGTGCAAATAATCATGAATGTGATGCACTAACAACGAAAGCAATTAATAACAATATTATCAGAAGTTACTTTAAATCATGAAAATATCATTTTAATCAGACGTACTTCAAAGCACTTATATAGATAAATGGAATACACATCAATAAGACAGTTATCCAACCCCCACTACCACAAAAATATATCAAGTTGTCAATATTCGGTCTCTATCAGTTTCAGCGTATGTCTTTACCAATTCTCATGTCTTCAACACACCGAGCTGAGAAAAGAAGTAAATAAATTCAACAGAGAATACCTAACATGAAACTCTTTTCACCTTTAAATTGATATTTGTTGATGAGAAAATGAAGATACAAATAGTAACTTACTTTTTTTTAAAAGTCACTTCTGGTGTCAGAAGATGGATGACACAATTTAACCTGTCTTAGTACGAAGTTATTGCGTAAGCTTTTGTTTTTGTTTTTGTGATTGTGTATTATTTTAAGAAAATAAGGAAGTTTTTATTTTCATTTCATTAGTATTCATTAGGTTTATTTTTTATTTTTATTTTCGGGTACTATTATTTGGGTTATAATTACATTGTTACTATTGATATAACACAAAGTGGGACATTACAGTGAATAGACTCGTTAAGCAAAGACGCATACCATCCAGTCTGAGAATCCCGACAGTGCAAGGAAACCAAAAGTAAAAACCAAAACTCTTATTCATCAGACTTAGGAGGTTATCGTTAGACTGACACGCGATACCATTAATTCTGAAATATTTTTACTCTCTCTGATGAATCAAATTGTTTCAGGTTAACGTGATAACCTTGACTGTATTGTCAGCTTAAGATGCTTTAAATTAACTATAACGTTACTCAAGCACATAGTTGACGTTATTTGTTGTACAAACTTCGTAAGTGCACGTTCTAGACCCATACCTTGTAAACTTTATACTATAATAATTTAATTTTGGATGTAACACGTCTTCTGATTGGCTGAAAGGTTTTTGTCTATCATTTCATAGACATAATTTTGTCATGTGACCGTGACGTCATCAATGTTTTTTTCATGATTTATATATTCCTTAAAAATGGAATTTGGAATTAAAATTATAAGGAATGACTGTAATATTTTTTCAGCGGGTTATTCAGTGTGCACCACATGTTTGATGTTATTTCTTCATAGATAGAAAAAATATTACAGTCATTCCTTAAATAGACTAAAAATTACTAATCTATACTACTAAAATAACGAGGTCCAATTTATTAACCGGCATGATATAAAAACGACGAATCAAAGAATTCAACTTTATATATAACTAAAAATTGACAATTGTGTTGATTAAAAATTACACTATTCCTGGCCCTTTTGTTTCCACATAATTAATATTACCAATAATTAAAAAGTCCTGGTTCGAATCCGATACCGATACCAATAGTATATGTCACATATAGTTTCAGGGTTGTAGTAAGAAAATCAGGACGGGTTCAAACAGAAAGATTTTGAAACCAGAGAAAACTTTGCACCTTATTATCAGTATGACTATCAGATGACAATTATACGAATAATAAAAACCCAGTCTAAAAAGAAGGCGTGGGTACTTTAATTCAGTCACGGACCTATGGATGTCGCGGGTGTGTTCTAGTAGCATATAATTATCTAATAATTATATATCGATATATAGTTATACATACATAAGAAATAATGTGAATACAACAAATCGCGTATGTATGGCAAGCCGTTCTCGTCAAAACTATGTTTAAACCATTTTTCGAAAAAAATACACACTGAAAATTAAAAAAAAAACACACTGAGATTAAAAATTACACACTGAGATTTCATAAAAACGCACTGAGATTACAAAAAAGGAAAAACACACACTGAGAATTGAAAATTACACACTGAGAATTGAAAACTACACACTGAGAATTGAAAATTACACAATGAGATTTCAAAAAGACACACTGAGATGAAATAAACTGAAAAACACAAACTGAGAATTTGAAATTACACAATGAGAATTTAAAATTTCACACTGAGATTTGTGCGCACTTTTTATGCGCACATATCTAATTAGCATACTTAATCTGAATCTATTACAAGCTTAAAACAACTAGGGGACAGAACTCGTTAGTCCTTCAATTTGGCGCTAAATGTTTTATAAAAAACATTAAAAATACAACGTATAGAAAAACCACGTTATTAAAGACCAATAGAACAAGAAAAATACCCACTTACTCTCATTACAAAATATAACCAAATGGTGAAAAACTTTATTAAAATTATAAGAAAACATTGGAACAATCTGCAAAAATACAAACAATGCAGCGAATTTTTTCCCCAAGTGCCTATTATAGCATATATACGTAACAAAAATATAAAAGATTACCTTGCGAAATCAGGGTAACAGTTGAAAGACTTTTGAAAAGGGACCATGCTTAAACAGTTTTAAGCAAAAAATCCCGTTTTACTGTTAGTAATAATATGAATTATAGGCAACAAACTTATGAATATGAGTTAGCAAAAAAAGTTGTTTAGTCTTGAACTTTATTACGAATGTTGGTTGTAGGAACCGCATTTCATTATAATGACAAGAGTTCGGGAGACCAAGATATTAATCTGTTGAATTATTCATCTCATGAATATTCATTAGTAATTTGCATATTAATCTCAGTGTGTATTTTTGAAATCTCAGTGTGTGTTTTTCATTTTTTTAAATCTCAGTGTGTAATTTTAAAATCTCAGTGTGTAATCTCGATTTCTCAGTGTGTTATTTTAGGTTCTTAAATCTCAGTGTGATTTTTTAATTCTCATTGTGTAATTTTTTCGAAAAAATGGTTTAAACATAGTTTTGACAAGAACGGCTTGCCATACGTATGCATTGTAAATTAAGCAAATGTATAACAAAAAAGTAAAAGAATCAATTTAGACTATCAGCTCTTTTGCAACAATGTATATCCGACGCGATCCTATATTATGTACCTGGGTCAAATCTGGTCACATTCTGTGTTAGGTTGTGGCTGCCATTAAAGCTAATGATTTTAATTATACATAATTTTGAAAGGTGAGCGATTCAGTCGCCAATAGTTTAACCTTTTGTCTAGTACCATAACATTTTAATCCTTTGCTTTAATAAATACCTTTCATATTTACTAAAAGGCGAAAATGATGATGGTGTTACCATGACCGACGAAGATTGTCCAGAAACACACGAACACGACTTGCTATCCACAGGGATAAAAAAAATGTAGTCACATCTTCATTATAGAAGGGCTCAATAAAACATTTGATAAATTTTACCTTAATACTTACCGGTTTAGGACGGAAAAATGACCAATGGCAGCGGTCTATACTGTTTGAGACATCACTGATGAACATAAATATTCAATATTCATAGTGTGCGTGTCATTTCTTTTAGGTCAAGAAATCAGAGAATACACAACATCAGAAATCATGTATTGACTACCCTTGGCTTCTCATCACCTCCTCAGATAGACGAAAACATGAAAGAAGAGATTCTGAGAAATCTAAGTATATCAGGTGTTCCTTATAGAGCTGTATCACAGCAGTGCTATGCTGGATCATGTAAGTTCTGAGAAATCTAAGTATATCAGGTGTTCCTTATAGGGCTGTATCACAGCAGTGCTATGCTGGATCATATAAGTTCTGAGAAATCTTTGTATATCAGGTGTTCCTTATAGAGCTGTATCACAGCAGTGCTATGCTGGATCATGTAAGTTCTGAGAAATCTAAGTATATCAGGTGTTCCTTATAGAGCTGTATCACAGCAGCGCTATGCTGGATCATGTAAGTTCTGAGAAATCTAAGTATATCAGGTGTTCCTTATAGAGCTTAATCACAGCAGTGCTATGCTGGATCATGTAAGTTTTAAGAAATCTAAGTATATCAGGTGTTCCTTATAGAGCTGTATCACAGCAGTGCTATGCTGGATCATGTAAGTTCTGAGTAATCTAAGTATATCAGGTGTTCCTTATAGAGCTGTATCACAGCAGTGCTATGCTGGATCATGTAAGTTATGAGTAATCTAAGTATACCAGGTGTTCCTTATAGAGCTGTATCACAGCAGTGCTATGCTGGATCATGTTAGTTCTGATAAATCTAAGTATACCAGGTTTTCCTTATAGAGCTGTATCACAGCAGTGCTATGCTGGATCATGTAAGTTCTGAGTAATCTAAGTATATCAGGTGTTCCTTATAGAGCTGTATCACAGCAGTGATATGCTGGATCATGTAAGTTCTGAGAAATCTAAGTATATCAGGTGTTCCTTATAGAGCTATATCACAGCAGTGCTATGCTGGATCATGTAAGTGTATTACTGTTCTTAAGTGAGATAATACATATATAGTTGGCGACAATATAAAAGTTCAGTTTTATATCGAATCAATAAAACAAGTCGATATTTTTTAGATTATTGCTAGCAGATAAAGTAAGTTAAAAGCTCCTGGTGAGTTATAGATTCCAGGTGCTGACATTGTGTATCATAATATATATTTTACATTTTCTCGTACTATTATGTTCCTTCTGGTTGTATGACTCTTGACGTGGCTCGGTATTTGTGCATCCAGCTTTCGGGTTTTTGGTTTTGGCGTTCGTAATGCGGGTGGGTCCAGATGTGCAATTCAAATGCATGAGGTTTTTATAGTTTTATTTTCATTTTGTAAACCCTTGTATTTTTATTTTACTTAATTGTACTTTATCGGGAAAGTTTGTATGCTATTATGTTTTACTATAGTGTACTATCAACTACAAATTTATTGTTGGCGTCTTTGTGAGATTTATTTGTATGTTTAATTGGATTGTGTTGTATTTCTATAATGTACGTTTACACCATGTGGCTGCTTGGTCCCAATTATTGTCACGTTAATCAGTTATGTCTGTTTGGGTTGCTCTCGTAATTTTGTCAATATGTCAATATGACGGAACTATAAACAACTGTAGTGGAAGGTTTAACCCACCAATTTTTTTTTCACGAAATGTCTGTACCAAGTCAGGAATATGACAGTGATTAACCAATCGGCCCGTTGGTCAAATCAAATCAAATCAAATCATTTTATTGGTGTAAAATCCAAATATTGGATTGTTACCAAGACAAACATGACAATAATTACAAACATACAATATTTATTCTATAAGTATATATTTATATATTTTGGAGGAGGTGATACGTTTGCAAATTTGAAAGTAAAAGTACAATATTCCTAATGCAATTGTTATAAAATATAACATAACAAATATATAAGAAAAAAATATAAAATAATCATAAATTTGTATTACATAATTACTTTTTCTTATCAGCTAGGCTATTTCTTAATACATATAAATCATTAACTCCCTTACCAATAATTGTAGTTATGTCATACTCATTAAATGTAAACATAAATGTAAATTTTTCCTCATCAGACATGTTGTTGAAAGATGGAACTATACTATCTACTTCCTGAAAACGTTTTTGCCTACATTTTCTAAAATTTGACATTTTAAAGCAAAATGATATTCATCTTCTACTTCCTTTTTACAGAGGGGACATACTCTTTTTTCCAAAGGTAATTTACGGTGTTTACCCTATTCAATATTTAGATTACTATTACTCATTCTTATTTTAATAAAATTAGATATCATGTATCGGTCTAAATCTATTAATAGAAAATTTTCTAATTTGTAATCATTTTTTAATTTTCTGTATGTTTTTAGTTTGTTTCCATTAGGGTTATTCTGGTCGTTAAAAAGACTGTTTTTCCAGAAATCTGTATATCTTTCAGCTAATTTGTTCCCTACAGCATTAATCAAGCATTTTTTTGAGAAAGTATTTTGATTTTCCCATACATGATTGAACCATATTTTGAGAGAGTATTATTCAATTTGGCTGCAAAACCATTATTTAAATTTAAACTACATTTATAGGCATTTGAAGCATAAATTTCTTTTTTCGCATTCGTCAAATGGCACCAAAACCCCAAAGAAGCCTTTAAGCATCAATAGCAATAGGTAACATACCTATTTCTGCTAAACTGCTGTGTTAACTGCAGCTTTATTTACACCAACAAGATATTTAGCAAATTTTATTTGAAATTTTGATGGCAAAAATGATAAATATCTACATTCAAGACTTGAATTGTCTTTAACTAACATATCAAGTGCCCATATTTCACTGCTATAAAGTAGTATAGGTTTCAAACAACTTTCAAAATGTTTTAAATGTGGATAGATATTAAGTTTATCAGAGAATAAAGGCTTTCTAATGCAAAACATTGCCTTTGAAGCTTTTTTTACACAGATGATTAACAGCACAAGAGAAAATTCCCGAGGGCTTAAATAAAATTCCCAAATATTTATATTCATTGGTCAGGTCAACTGTCTGTTCATTGAATTTAAAGTTGTAATTTTTTAGAACTTTACCTGATTTATTAAAAATTATAACATTAGTTTTGTTTAGATTTACAGTTAAACTACACTTATCGCAGTAAGTGTTGAGTATTTCTAAACATCGTTGTAAGCCAGACTCAGATTCAAATATTAACACAAGGTCATCTACATATAACAAGCACGATACATTTTTAACCGGATTTTCGAAGGAAAAATCGGTTATTGATTTGGGGATGTACGGCGGGCGGGCGGCTGTCGGGCAGGCGACTGCCAAACAGTGTCCGTTCATTAATATGAAAACGGTTTGACGAATTTTTTTCAAATTAAGATATTTTGTTTCATGTGGCTAAATAAAGGTCAAGTTTAATTTTCAGGATTCTAGCTTTTCTCGTTCTTGAGTTATATCCCTTTCCAATAGTCAAAAGTGGTAATTATTATGTGATTGAGTTAATTCCCTTTGAACAGAAATGGTTAATTATATATATATCAAGTTTGATTACACTTACAGATAAGTTTTATAGATTTTTAAAAGACATTGTATTAATGATAAATGACATTTTGGATTTTTTTTCTTTTCTTTGGTAAATTGTTTGAAGAATTTTGTGGTAGGTTTGTTTGTTATTCGGTATAAACTAATTTTCTGAATGCTATATATATATTTTTTTTATGAAGTGAACTCCTTTAAAAACTAAGCTTATATTGTCTATTGATAAACATATATTTAGATTTCTGATTTTGGTTTAATTTCATCAAAATTTGAATTCTTGGGGTTCTTTGATATGCTGATTCTAACAATGTTTTAGTGGTTAAATCATATCTAATTTTATTGATTAAAATTTGAAAATATATAACATCATATCTAATTGTAGAGAAGTATTTTTTAGTGGTTAAATCATATCTAATTTCAGAGAACTATTTGTTTATCATTTATTCAGTTTGAGTTATTTCCATTTGAACATCAAATTAATGAGTATATGAATAAAATTAACCTGTATTTCATTTCAACATAAATTAAATGTATATAAAGTTCTTTCAAATGCTGAATTTTGAAACATTTTTATCAAATATATAGCAATTTATTCAGCTATGTTACTGATATATCGGTACTGAATTTCTTTATTTTTTTCGAATTTCAAAGCCTTCTTTCTATGATATATGATCGATCTCTTGCATTTCATGTGCCTTTTGTAAGTTTATCAAAATATCTCTCGACGACTTCATATTTGCTTTTAAATATTAATGTTTTAATTATTGTTTCACAAACAGGTACATTACCTAGTTGGATTGATGAAGAATTATGGAATGACCCAGACACTAAGACTTTACGACTTTTCTTTGATATTTTGCCACTAGAAGACAGTGGAACAAGTATACTAAACGCTACCTTAAGGCTTCACATCAAGGAGAGAACAGGTAAAACTAATGACTTTGTTGTAGATGGTTGCCACCAGTTATGTTTATTCTGAATGAACCTTATGTATGTCTAATGATTCAAGATGTATGCCCTTGGTACATGATAGTAAATTTAGTAAGTGTTCTCGTCAATTTAGATAATTAGCAATAAAGAAGGTTATACGAATATTAAGATATTTGTTAAAAGATAAAAGGAAAATGTCCTAGATTCAGATGGACTAATGTTTTTAATGTTTCTACACTAATTGTGTCGACATGAACTTAAAAGTTTTAAAGAAGGCACGAGATAACAGGAAACATGAGTTTATTTATTATGCATTTAAAATTATTTTCAGACTGTGAAATTAGCCATACTAAATTTAATCACTGGTAGTTAACAGAGGTTATTAAGTTTGACATTAAGTGCATCACAACATATTTTTCATTGAAATCTATAGCTTATCTTCAGGTAATGATTCAAACCCCGTAAGATATAAAGATAAAGTCAACATGAAAAATGATCTACCTTATCATCGAAACAAGGGTGGTAGATACAAAAGGTGCAATTAAAAATCATTAGTGGAAGACACGATGGTTAAAGAGATGAAAAGGACAATAAAACAAACAGCAGTCAACAAAATCAAGATTGAGCAACACGAACCCCACAAACCATGGGTAAACTCGCGTGCTCCGGAAGGGTGCAACACGAATCCCACAAACCATGAGTAAACTCGGGTGCTCCGGAAGGGTGCAACACGAATCCCACAAACCATGAGTAAACTCGGGTGACCCGGAAGGGTGCAACACGAACCCCACAAACCATGGGTAAACTCGGCTGCTCCGGAAGGGTACAACACGAACCCCACAAACCATGGGTAAACTCAGGTGCTCCGGAATGATAAGCAGTTCCTACTCACCTGAAATATTTAAATGATGTGAATCAGTTTTTGGTAATCATCTTTATCAATGATGTACCATATTCTGGGGGTTTTCTGTTTCTATCAGAACCTTCATGTAATTTTCCGAAAGGAGTCCGTATTGCTAGACCTTTAATTATGAAAAACCTGCAAAATCCTTAATTGTTCATCCTCTTACGGTTTGTCTATATTAGTACAGTAACAATGTCAATTTCTATGTGATTTATTGAGTAAACATGCAATAATATAAAAAGCAGGAGATAATGGTCATATTTGAACAAAATTGTCATTTTCATAGTTTTTGAGAAATCTTTTGTATATGGAGAACATCCGAAAGTCCAGGGAGATATTTGAAGCACATTAACATCTTTGAGATAGACTTATCCTTTCCAGAAAGGATTCTAATATCAAAGACACCGTGAGAATACTCATTTCAGTTTTTGTTGTTTACTTGTAAGTACGATCGAAAAAAAAAGATGTAAAAGAAATTAGAATATATAATTGCTGATATCCGAAAAACTTGTATGTGATAATAAGAAAAATGATAATTTTTGTGACTTAAAACAATGTGATTTAAGATAGAATACATGTAAAGGAACATAAATACATTTTGTTTTTAAGCCTGCCGTTGTTTTACGGAAGACGATGAATCAGGAGAAGATGACAGCGTTCGATTCACTGTCTTTGTTAGTCAGTTTCTCAAACCATTAAGACGCAGAAATAGGGGTAAGAGAAATAGTATTATTCAATTAAGGATTTTTTTTAAAAAGATTATTCGTATGTCCAATTTATCAGATAGATATTTTATTTCTATACCCCATAATATTTAGTAGAAGATTACATTTTTTTATAGGTCATCATACTATATGTTGTAATGTTTCTTATTTTAATTAGTATATATTTTGGTCCATCAAAAGTAAGAAATATTATTTTGTCTTTTTGTGTTGGTTATTCTGTGGTGTTCAGTTTACGTCTGTACGTTTGTACTATATTGCAGAGTACTAAACTTGGTACTGAAAATGCTCTATCTATTCAGGGGGGAGTACACTAGGTCTTCAACCGAGGTTACCATTTTCGCATAGTCAATCTTCCACACAACAACATTCTTATTATTATACTATCCCCCAATTTGATAACAAACTAGAATAAAAATATAATCTCAAAATATCAATTATTTAAACTATAGCATGAAACCGAATAATAATTTTGAAAGGTATCAAACGGCATTTCTTACGGACTGTCAATTTTGAACCAAAAATATTCCGTTTTACTCTTTATGATTTTATATTTTTAGTACCGCGAATGAGAATTCTTGATGTGAAAATGGTCGTGGTCAAAAGGGATTCGTGGATTAACTTCAATGTCGCCGAAGCTGTACAAGAATGGATGCAGCGGCGGAGACGACGCCATGGATTAGAAGTCAACGTTATTGACTCTCAAGGATTTCCGATCGATGCCAAAGCTGTATTTGGGAATACAGACTGCTTGCTGCCAGTTGGTATGTGAATTGTATCTTCTCTTAACTTTCATATCTTAGGATTACTTTTGTCAATAATGGCAGATGCATTTGAAATATTACGTTTCTGCAAGTTTGGGTAATAAAATGATTTTATGTTTGGTTAAATTTTTTATGGGTCTGAATTACCTAATCAATTTTCTTTGTTACAGCTCTTTCTGATCTATTGGTATTAATTGCGGCAAAAAAAATTCTGAGGTTTAGCTAGCTATTAAAACCAGGTTTAACCCACTATTTTATTCGGAAAATGCTTGTACCAAGCCAGGAATATGACAGTTGTTTTTGATTCGTTCTATGGGTTGATAAAGTCTAACGTTTGATTTTTACAGCGGATGACCGTGAGGGCATTCCGGTGTTATGTTGCCACAGACATTTCTACCCACGTGACTTGCGTTTTTGACTGATAACCGAACGTATTTTGTATAATTACGCGGATATTATCGAGTGCAAAATAACATTCCTTATCGCTTGTTATGTATTAGTTTCATCAATAAATATTCATGAAAATAATTTTTAAGAACATAGATAAATGATATGAAAATGTTTTGTCGTGAGCAATATATATATCAATAACAAATCAAGAATAACGAAAATTTGTGTTAACGCATGCCGAAGAATATCTCAGGAACTTTTTGCAACAAACGCGGGAAAATATGAATGCTTCTCAAATCCAATCTATTAGAAAAACGAATTATTACAGAAGAGTGTCCACCATGCACTTGCACTGTACTATCATTAGAATAGTAGAATAGAATGATATACAAATTTATGAAAATTATATATAACTGTTATACAAATAGTAATACTAGTATAATATATAACAACAAACCAGTATACTGATATACTGATAACAAATGATTATATCACTACAATAAATAGTTATTACGTCGAGGTTGAATTCCCTGTCATGTATTCATCATCCACACACGAACTTGTATCAGAAAAAAATATATCTATGTACCTTAACTAACTTTCAGGTATAGAGATGTGATTTTTTTCTGAGACAAGTGCTTGTGACCATCCACCAGAACTTGCGGTCATCCGATGTTCAGAACTTCAGTACTTTGATTGGTTTTGATGGGCTTTCCCCTTTTTGAATTTACTTTGGAGTTCGTTATTTTCGTTATACTCTTTTGTATCATCAATTGTACATCCGTGTTGGATCATTTGGTCCATTTTAAAAACAGATAGTATTATAGTCGTGTTTTTATTTGCTTGTTATATAATTGAAATCATGGAAAATAATTCCGTACTCAAATTTAAGAAATTGATATTTTAGATGTAGAATGTCAAGATACCAGTTTACCAGTAGCTGTACAAAAAAGCCTGAATTTTAGCACATCCCCAGTGTTGGAAGTTTTTACTGAAACCAGACCTAATATACCATTTAGGGAAAAACGAGATATTGCAACCTTTCTGCAGCCATTCACAGAGGACACCAGAAACGATAGAAACCTTTTCAAACAAAGTGTCTTTCTTAAACGATTAGGAAGGATGCCCAACTGTGACAGTCATGATTGTGAAAAAACGGATGAAGGTAAGAAAAGTTACCCATATTTCGGTAGTCACTTTACAAAAGAAATCATCGTATACAAATCCTTTGAAAAAACAACACCTTTTTACATATTTGTTATAGCTTTTTTTTTGTGGAGTTTCCTGATTATTTTGAAATTCAATGTCAAAACATATGTCATGGTCAATTCTACAGTACCCGTACTATGTCAAGGTCAGATTTTCAGTACCGGCACTAAATTTCATCCGATTTGATAAAAGTACTTATCATGATTGATGGCAAAGTCCCTGGGGTTCATTAATGTTGTTTTTTCTCGAGTAAATTTGAGAGCATAACATGCAATTGTAGGTTTAAAAATACTGCTGTATATTCTAGTTTCTGGTCTGTTTTTCAGCACCAGTACGCGTGGAACAGACTTAGGAGACTTCTATATTCCACTCGTCTGTCGTACAAAGAGTACCATTAATTACTGTTCGACTCATTAATCAATCTACATAAATCAATCGTATAAAATTCAAACAGAATCCTGAGAGGTTTGTGCTACATTATGTTTATGATGTTATACTAAGTATGTATATATACCACAATCAACACCGAAGACCACCACGAATCGTGATGAAGTTGAAAGACAGATATACACATCGTTGGGTCATTATATCTTATTTAACTAGTCCCATCTACATCCATTTACACAGATGATGCTACAATAACTGCTTGATTTAGAATAATGAATACAATCATGTCTGTCTTTACTGCTACCTCATTTAATATTGTTAATGTTATTTGTTATTAATGTGTATTTTATTGTATATATGCATTTTTTTTTTATTTATTGAATTTTTCGAAAGCTATTGTAACTTGTATTTTTGTAACAGATAATGCATTGTTTGTAAGAAATCATAAATAGCCGTGCCTCGTTTTCTTTTTCTATGTTAAACATCCCTACTATCTGTTCCTCTAACCATGAAAAGTCTTGTATTGTAAACAATATTGACTAAAACTTGCCAGAGTAAACATTAATTTTCAAACTATTTATCCACTTTGATTACATACAAATGCCTGCAATAAATATCAAACGATTTTTCAAACTTCTAAAGGCAAATTTTTATATTTATCTGCACAAACCATATATTCTAATGCACCACATCACGAAACGCCGCTGTTGTTTGAATGAAATCTATCATCAGTTCAATGGTTGACGGTCGGGGTCATTGCCTCATCACAGTCGAATTTCCCCGAGGTATTTGATAATGATGAATGGTTTATTTTGAACATTAAATACATATTGAATTTCAATACGAATAAAAGCCCTGTATGAAGAGTTGCCTCCCTTCTTTAAAGATCATTTCTTATGCCTATACCACATCTTTCATTTTTCAACTACAAACACGCGTTGCATGATGTCAACATTGATGACTCTTGTTTGCACCTCTGCAAGTTGCCCATTCACATATAACCCGGCTGGTCACGTTATAACTGGTGACCTTAACATTATCAACATGTGGAGAAAAGTCATATATTGACTTACATCTAGGATTTGACAATGAAGGGTCGGTTGTGAACTTCTATCACCTTCATATGGAGTACATATATATATATCAGTTGGTAAAATATACCAGTGCTTACGTTTCCTATCATAATGTCCTTGATAGAGGGTTGCTGCTTATAATGAAGCTATAGAACCAAGGGTTCCTAATGGTAAAATGAAGTCATACCTTTAAACGTTTTACGGACGCCATCCTGATTTGGTTGGCCGTAATTGAGTCTTTGTCTAACTTATTGATTTATTACTTGCCATTAACAACACGACGTGTGCCGGAGATGGAACTTTATACCCTTAAAAAACTGTGTTTCCCCAATATTTGTTAGGGGTCACGTGTTGCTGAAGACTTCCGTGTAATATTTTGTTGGCTGTTGTTTGTCTGTTCGTCGTGTTTCCTGTCGTCAAAGGGTTCTCACTTTTTCTTCGACTTCCTTTTTTTCTCATATGGTTTTTTTCATACGTCAATTAGGAATTTGACGGAGGCAACTCTCCAAATGCAGCACTGTGATTGCTTTACAAGAAAGTGTAAGCTTTTTTTTTCAAATTTTGTTGTATTTATGTTTAGTTAGGTTTTATATACGATGTAAATACTTTAATACAGCCAAACAGTAAATGTTAATTTTCATTAAATATCATTTGTTTAAAGTAAGTGGAACACAAAGCAAAAGTAAAACGGTAATACTTTACACTGCATATGATCTCGAGTTGTATAATAATGATTTTACTGTATTAAACTATACTGTATTTAACTATACTGTTTAATTGAAAATAGTTTTATCTATTTACAAATATTCTTTGACAAACGAGTTTTATGAATATTTTGAATAAGTAAATATATCTACATTACGGAGTATAAAGTAAAAAGTGTGAAAAAGATATGTGTCCCTCATTTTTATCAACAGTTGAAAAATTGGACACATTAGGACATAATACTTTATGAATATTGTGCGTCCGAATCTCTTTTGTAGATTTATCGTCACCAGGAACTGTCGAACACAAAAGTTTGAAAACCAAGCATGTATAAATACTAGGGTACAATGTACATACGGAGCTTACTACCGGAAGGAACTTAAAAAGAATAACTAATCTATCTAAGGTTATCTTTGTCTGAGGTAGAACCTCATTCTTCGACATGTTCCCTGTGAACTATTATTTCATGATGACTCGAAATTTTGGCTCACTATACATTTAGTTCAATCCCTTAGGAGCACCGGCATTACCATTGTTTTAAATGCTGTACGTGTTGCTCAATCTTGAGTTTTTGTTGCAATGTTATGTTGATTTTTGTAGATTTTTAAGTGATTTTGTATTCAGTCTTTCCTATTTCATTTTCGGTTGCTTCGATTATCTTCTTTTAAATTTTATTATTGGGGAGAATGATAACAATCTATAAAAGAAAATAACCAAGAGGGCAATCAAAACCATTAGTCGTAGAAAAACAGACAAAATCATGACAAACCTAGGAGAAATAGACAAAACTATGACAATAGAAAAACAGATTAAACCAGGACAAAATAAAAACAGATAAAACAATGACAAAAGAAAAACAGACAAAACCATGACAAAAGAAAAATAGAAAAAAATCATGACAAAAGAAAAATAGACAAAATCATGACAAAAGAAAAACAGACAAAACCATGACAAAAGAAAATTAGAAAAAAATCATGACAAAAGAAAAATAGACAAAATCATGAAATAAGAAAAACAGACAAAACCATGACAAAAGAAAAACAGATAAAACCATGACAAAAGAAAAACAGACAAAACTATGACAAAAGAAAAACGAAGCAACAGTCCACAGAACATTACACAGAAAACTAAAGGTTGAGCAACAAAACCATCACCAAACTCTAAATATTTACAATATTTTATTTATCGATCTGGAGTCAGATTCACAAAAGAACTTACGACTAAGATTGATCGTAAGTATACTGAAACCGACTCCTGATCCTTATATAAATAATCAAACGAATACTGTAAATAGTCTGGAATTTTGCTTAAAAATGACACATGTATGAGTACAGTATTGTTTATAGTATCGACAAAAAATAAAAGAAAAGAGGAATTTGCGGGCAGTCACAGGATTGGTGAATTCAATTTCATGAGTTCTCAGTTTGGCCCCTTTTCATACTATCAATCCAATAGCAATACAATTCATCTTGGAAGACAATTAAGAAAAGAAAACATATAATTTGATAAGCTAGAGTCGTTGGACAAAAAAAAAAAAACTATCATTCATGCTTTAAGATCACTGTGCATTCAATCTGCAAATATACGCGGACTTTTACACTCATGTTTTTGTAACAGTACACTAGGAATAACTATTACACCACAAACTGCAGTATACCGATGACAAATATATACGGCAACCCCCCAGCAAAGTACACCAAAACAATCCAACAAAAACCTCTTAAGCTGGAATACATTAGGAAATATTACATACGACAAACCCAAACTGTAGTTACAGCTACTATCGGCAGAACACAAGAAACGATATACAAGAACTTTACATATACCATAATGCTTGATATTATTCAGTGCCAATAAGAAATCTGGTGACTGAGTGGGTTTTTTTTTCTTCGGCAGTTGCGCTGGATGTGCCAAGTCCAAAGCATAGTTAAATTCCTACAATCAGTTATGTTTTTGCAAAGACTAATCAACAAATTATGTCATCACTTGATACCACACAAAACTACTTTGTGCACTTAAAAATTATGCTTATTTAATTTAGGTGGAGAGATTATATGATTCCGGTAGGTTTTGACCTTCGACTTATCATTTTTATTCTTAGGAGTTCATACTACGGTCAGAAATAAATGAAAACAACACTTGCGTCATAGCATAGTGATTTGTACCAAGAGTATAAAATGAATTATGTTATGAAAGGTGGTAGCTGTTTATAGCACAATGTCAACATTTTTGTATTGACATTTGACAATTTCTGCCATCGGTGGCCTAAATTTTAAAATGGCAGGTGCAATTTTTTGAATGCAGATGTTAATGAATTAATTTGAACATTTTATATAAGAAGATGAATTTTATATCGCTTTGGATTGTATTTATTCCCGTTATTCGAAACGGTATCACAGACGATGACATTCCGAATACAACAGTTTTTCCTACGTCTACATTACAAAGGTAAGACACAATATGTTTTTTTTTGTATAAATTCTAGATTTTTGTAAATAAACAAATGACAAAATTAATATAGAAATTTATCTATATTAAATCCATCGAACTAAATCAAACAATACTAGAGACCAATCTCCTATATAAGATTTTCGGATGGAAATATTGATACAAAAATTTATAAATAAACTGGATTACTTTTCCTTTTTTGTTAATTTTCCTCTCATTGATGTTGATGTTCCGTTGGTTTTTTTCTATTGAGGGTTCATTTTGCAGTTAATTCATTTCAGTTCAAATGTTCCATTTATGTGCTTTAAACTGTTTACCTTACTATATATTCCTGTGGCAGTACATGAAAAACACAAAGCCTCATTTATCTGGTTACTTGAACAAAGCCAAATTGTGGTATACAATATGTAGGACAAACAGTACGGGATTTTTTAGACGAACACAGGAACATTTATACCGCTTCCGAAAACCTAGGAAGTTCAAAAGTATAATTAACCAACATTATGGAAATCACAATATCAAATTTTATAAAATTCCAACCACTCGAAACGATCCAAAAACAAGAAGGGCAATCCCATAAACAATTTGAAGATTCCCGTAAAATTATCGTACTGTCTTGGATTAAACGACTGCAGACAGTATATCCCCTTGGTCTAAATGACAACATAATGGGACAAGGGAACTGATCTAAAACTTCTTCTATTGATATCATGAATATTGTTGATAAAAGACAATGTAATAATAGGTCTCATGGCAAACGTATCAATCGAAATCAACGAATTAAACATTGTATAAATTATACACTTGACGATATCTTATCTGTATGTAAAAATAATGGTAGGCATCAACTATTGTGTAAACTTGGTCAAATACGAATTAGTAAATTACATGATATTTTCAAGGAGTGTGACACAATCTCGTTTTTCAGCCCACTCTATGAAAGTACGCGTATAATTACAGCTTTGTGTCACAATAGGTATCGATAAACCTGAAGATCATTAACGGCATTTTCTGAAAATTAAATATGTTAACAGAGGTATTGATTCTATCGACTTATCTAGTATATTTAATTACTCTACCATTCAAAACGTTATATCTCCCTATTTTGATAACACAAAACCACCTATTATTTCGTATACATACAAAACACCCAGAAGTTTAATTTTTGATTATACGTCAGTAACATCAGACGTTAGCGTAAAAAATAATACTCCATTAACTTGAGACTGTGAATCGACGAATTTTAGATATGATCCCTATGGCCATGTTATTACGGGGGACCTAAATATCGTTCAAGACTGAGAGGTTAAAAACTTTTTTGAAAAAAGGACCAAAATATCGTCCGCCATCTAAAATAGATTGGAAACAGTGTCGTCAGGTCTTACAACACGCCCTTTTGTCGTACTGTAAAATTTGGTGTAAACGGGGAAAATCTGATAAACAATCTCTTGATTCTTATTTAAATAAATGTATGAATGTTGTGGATATTCGAATATCACATTTTGAAAATAACTTAGAAATAAATAAAAGAGTACATAATACGCTTATTTACTGTATAAGAAACATACTTCAATTACTTGCAAAGCGGTTTGTGTTTGTACCGGCCGACAAAGCAGTCAACAATGTGGTAGTGGCATGCCATATCATAACCACATCACAGCTTAAAGCCTCTTCTGATCATTTGAAGGTTCCTAAAATGTATTGGTTATCTAAACTCACAAAAAAAACCCGTAAAATATCGTTTCATCTCGGCCTCTAGTGAGTGTTCTACAACAAACTTTCAGTGCTTTTAACTACATGTAGTTCCTTAACTACTATCAAAGAAATTAACATTAAATATTGTAAGAAAGCAAACGAAAATAGTGAAATTAACTACTGTTGGAGTGTAAAAAAAATCTTTGGATGGTTTAGATAAATTACGTGCTTTTGATGGTCCTTTTGATTTTTCTGACAGTTTTGACTTTCAACTCTTTACACTACACTTCCACACAATCTTATCAAACAAAGATTTTCCTATTTAATTAAATGGTCGTTTGAAAAATCTAATTGCAAATATATTTGCTGCTACTCATTTAAAGCCTTCTTCTCTACTGAGAAAGGTAAATATGCTATATATACTTACTGGAGGTATGATGAGATGATTGAAGTCAGGGATTTCGTTACCACAAATTACTTAAAACGTTTACTAAATTCTTTCATAGATACAAAGATTTGGTTTGTAAGTTTGGCGGTGTCTGTAGAAAACTTATTTCAAACGGGATAACACATACTTATTTTTACGGAGATGTTGTTTACCGAGCCCGGAAATTTAGATACGATCCGGGTAAACTAATCGATCCTTTAAATAAACTTATTCTAAAAGGTTACCAATTCAACACTGTAATTAGATCTTTGAACATTAATTAATTGGTATAGATATTGATTTTGTTATCAGTAAATTAAAACCAAATTAATGTTGGGTTCTACAATCTGTCGACACCTTTTTGGCATTGTACAAGGTCATGTTTTTCTCTGGTTGTTAATGACGTCTTTACTCTAAATCCATTGCATGTTGGATGTGTGCTGATTGATACTTTAGTCTAAGATACATGATTTTTTTTTATTAGTTGTTATTTGGTTTGAACTAGCTGTCGGTAACTGCGAGTACTCTCAGATCTGTACTTAGTATCTTTTTTTATTAGTTGTTATTTGGTTCGAACTACCTGTCGGTAACTGCGAGCTCTCTTATAGTTCTGT